GAACGTTTCACTCGCTCTTATCTTCCTCGTCTCTCCGCAAATCGCTTACGAAACGTCCACTTATCAACTGATTACCGTCGCTGCGACTCGCGCGCGCGGTTACTTTGTGTTTTCTTTGTAATTTCGTACAGCGTTCCGCGGAGAGTTCGCCAAGAACGAGAGAAAAAGGGTAGAACCGCGCGCTCTGTTCAATTCTACCCTATTCTTCGGCCGCGTCGCACCTTCGACTTCCTGCTTCTCTCCCTCTTTCTTTTTCGCTTTTTCCGCGGACGCCGCCGACGTGGACGCGACGCGCGTAACCGTAAGAGAAGAAAACGGGAAAATGACGCCGGCCTGCGGTCGGCCGGATCTGGTTCCGAAACGAGATACGCCTGAGAGACTTGAGATAAACAAACGGTGATGTCGCGTCTCCGCGAGCGTTGATAGAGACTAGAACGCGAGCAACGCCCGATACGTGCCTATCGATCCTGCCAATCGACGACACGTAAGTGCCTAAAAATTCATCTCATCGCACGATAACGGTCGATTTCACAAAACATTCTCTGAGCAAATGATTTCTTATTCCATGCGCGGAAAACAAAAAGTTTGATTGAACTTATCGAACAGTAAACACGAACTAAACGCGTTTTGATTGAAGGAAACAGAATTTCTGATTCTTGTGACCCGAGTGTGGTTCTTATAATTTCGTTTTCTGATTAATACAATCGGACTTTTTTCGATGTAAATTTGTTATTGAAAAGTACTATTGAAAAGTGTTTTTTCGACGGATCAAAAGTGCGCCTTTTCGATGAATGAATTAAAAACGCCTCGGAAATTACTGGCGCTTCGACATTTATGTTCACACATTTTATTTGCTCAATCATATTCTTTTCTTTTCTTTTTTGTCATGTAAGCGAATATAGTCTGGAGATAATTTGTGGACGATTTCCTGAATTATCACGACCGAGACTGAGAACGAGAGAATTTCAGAGACGTGTCTCAATCGCGGAACGAGCCCTTAGACCAGACGATATTCGATTTTATTTATTTTTATTTTACTCAATATTTAATATTATGATGTTAAAAATATTGAAGTAAAGTTTTCTGCTTTCGACGTTTAATTTTGTGTGTTTGTTGTGTTTCGAAGTTTATGTGCACTTCCATGCTATAAACGCAACTTATAGGGGTATTGTAAAATCACAGGATGGACGAGATCGTGGCTTCATATTTTACACCTTATCTCATATAATCGTAAATTTTTCCCTATTTTAACATTGTAAACCACGGAAAAGTAGTGACACCCGTTCAAACATGCACGAAATTTGGATTCGCTTGACGGCTCTACGACCAATATGCCTTACCGAGGCGAAGCAACACCTGCGCATTGTCGGGAAATGTTCGAATGCGAGCATCTGCCATAACGTGATCCACTAGCCCATTTCCAGCTGCGCTATGTGTCCCGGAAGCTCACCTCGATTAATTATAGATTATGACGGGAGAACGCAACGTAAAAGTCTACTCCATTTACCCATCCCTTACCTGACGATGAATTAAATAGAGTCCACGGAAAGACCGCATTCTCTGATACTCAAAAATAAATCGGAAATCGTTTGAGAAAAAAAAGATCTCTAAAATTTTAGCAGTAAATGAATATTTTTCGAATGTTTACTAATACTGTCTTACAAATTATAGAAACAATAATAATGTGCTTAATATTTCTTCTGATTTAATTAATTTTTGATAATTTTTATCATTTTGAACAGACTCGAAAGCGTGCGAGTTTTTACAAATTGTTTGATCTCCGAAACGAACTTCGATCGAGGTTATCCAAAGAGAGATCTACATTTCAAACGTTATTAAATAGCGCGTAGAAGAGAAATGCGTAGATGATAATGCAGTTGGCCTCAGCCCCAAGGCCGCTGCACTTTGAGGACACCTGTCTCGCATTTCATTGCAAATCGCTCAGTGGGGAGGGGGGNNNGGGGGGGGGGGGGGGGGGACAATCAGTACCACTTGTGTCGAGCATTTTCCAAGTTTTCCAAAGTTAACTTTCTGCCGTCCCCGAAGGGGGATTTTTTCAAAATATGGCCACACTGGACCGCGACGGACGACGAAAATAAATAAAGACAAAACCGCTATTGTGAAGGTACAGGGTGAAAACGGGGGCCGGTATGAAAAGCGAACAGGACCAGAGCGGAACACTACAGCAAAAGGGAAGAGAGAAAAAGAGGTAGAGACGTTGGCAATTTGCACCTAGCGCAGAGAGAACAACCGATATCTAGTATCCCACCGTGTTATTACGCTCGAGGGATCCCGGGTAAGAGGGAAACGAGGTCCGGAGATGACTGAAGACGGGAGGAGAGGAGGAAGGGAAGAGCGGAAGAGTTGGTACGTCGGGGACAGGCAGGACGAGGAGGCGGGGAAGGGGAATATAAGGTGTAGACTTACTTTGGACTCTGTGGTGTGGGATTACCGTACTTATATTCAGCTCTAATATTAAGTTACCACTTTGCTTTACGGCAAGTGAACAGGCCGCCTGCATATAGGAAGCCATCCGAGCGCTCCTGGGACAGTCTGTCTCGCCCGTCTGGGCCCACCTACGAATTACAACGTTCGTTCGTTCGTTCGTTCGTTCGCACGTTCGCTCGCTCGCTCGTCGGCTCGGGGAAAGTCCAGCGCGTACCCCAGTTGTTCCCCCACGAAATATCGGCGAGCGCGAGTTTCCCCGATCGATCGCGGTCCTGTCGCTCGGCCAAGGGAGGGTGCGAGTTTTTGAGACAGTATTCACGTATAGGTCCGTCTAAGATCGCGTGTTCATTCCTCGTGTTACATTCACCCCGAGACGACTGGCGGCAAACGTCACCCTCTCTAATCGAATGAAATTGCGTTGTCTTCTGCGACGAGACGAGGTATGTAGTAATTGGATCAAAGGACGTTTCTGCATAGAAAGAAAGGTCTCTTTGGATTTAGTATACGTGTTTGTTTCAATCGGGTTTGTTTAATACAAACAACGTAATTCAACATAAGTAAACAACATAATTTAATATCAAATATCATTTTGATGTTATCCTAGGAAATAATATCTTCTTTTCAATAATAAAAATTTATTTTGTTATATATTAAATATTGTTCCGTTGAAAGAAAAAAATTCTTTAATATTTGTTTAATGTAAAATATTTCTATTATATTGTTTTAACATAGTATTATTTTTTTCAAATTGTTGTTTGTGACAGCCATTGTAATGTTTGGATGAAAATACAAAATAAATATGTTATTTGACGTAATGATATTTATTATTTGAAATATCAAACAATTCTATTTATCGAATCAAACATTCGTTTGTTGGCTACAATAGACAAATTTGTTTCAATTAAAGAAATTTTATCAAACCCCAATCTTTTTCTCTGTGCGACGATATTCTCTGTGAGTCGATTCCCAATCTTCGAAATCGGGGGTTGTTTCAGCAATTTTAATGTTGCTAAAAAAGAAAACAATCGAGCAGTAAAAGCGAGTCGAACAAAAATAATGTACAAAAATTTGTACATCCATTTCTGATTCTAAAAATTAGAAATTCGTAACTTCGGGGGATGAATTATCACTCCGATTTCTTGTGATTCCATCACCGCTTATCGCAGTTTTGCGAATTAACCTTGACCTTTCGATGGCGACTACTTCGTAAGGTTTCACAGTAATCCCGTTTTAAAGTTTTCCATCAGTTTGCAGTGCGCATAAAATGACGTGGAAATTCCGGAGCGTGCTCGAGAATTCGAAATTTTGCACGAGAGTGCTCAGCGAATGCACGATTTACCTTCAACACTCGCTGAAATTGCTGCGACTCCAATGTTGTTTTTCATTCATCATCTGGAAGCTCGACGAACCCTTTCGTCTCGTCGACGTTATATAAACTCTTCTTATCCATCTTGCACGGAGTGTCGTTATTACGTAAAAAGTGTCGTGCTCGAAATACGCACAGTCGACATGCGGCTTGAATCTTTTGCCGTCACGAATAACATATTTTTACCGTTTCTGTGTACAGGGTGTCTCAGCAATCGCGCGTTTTCTACGAGTTAGAGACGTCAGAAGCAAGAGGAAAGAGTTGTTGTTCTATTTTCGTATTTTACACACGGAGCAGAACTCGGTTAATGTAACGGATTTTCTGCATAGAAAAAAATATTATTTATATTGGAAAGAAAAACAATTATTCGGTTTATTTATTTTTTTTTTTTTAAGTAACGACGAGAATTTTCGATTGCGACAACAGAGCTATCGTTCCTTATCAAACGTAAAACGTCTCGCAAACTCTCTAAAATAGATCAACATTTCTTTCGACGAAACACTATAGATCCGATTGCTTCAATTAATTTTTCTCAATTCTCCTATTTTTTGCAGGTGCGACTGTCAAAATTTTCCTAATTTATTTTTTCTCTATTAATAAAATACGAAGAAACCGGATGCGATCGAATGCTGGGAGGTTTGCTATATCCTATACGCATTAAACTCAATAATATCGCGAAATCTGGACTTTCAGGTAGCGTAATCGTAAACGTCAATTACGTTTACGTTGCGTTAATTATGAGGTAACAGTAAATATTATATCAAAAACATTATATATTAATAATAAATAAGATAAGAAACTTTCAATAATCGAAGTTTCACATGTAAGAAGATAGAGGTACTGACTTCTGTGCGTGCTGGGGTATGTGCTGGACTTCCTAGCACCATTCGAAATCAGTACTACTCTTCTTAGCATTCAGCAATTTGCCGGAGGAAAGAAGGAAGAAAGGACTTGATATAATTTCTAACGCTTTCTCATATTAAACTGATGGGATGATCTTATATTCGAGGAATCGGGAAAGGGGGAAATTGATTCCACTGTGTGAAAATAATGAAACGTTTCTTTTAATCCTTCTCGTATGCCTCGTATTATATCCTTTCGTTTATCTTTACAGTTTCGGCTTCTCGACCGATACAAAGACGTAATATTTATACGCTATTTATATTATTGCGGTGCTGAATCTGTCTTATTAAATTACACAATCATCTTACCAGCTTTCTCTCCTCTCTCTCTCTCTCTCTCTTTCTCTCTCTTTTACGCGTCTAATTCACGAAGATTTCCCGATAACGATCGTTATAACATGTGTTATAGAGTCGTACGCCTATGTAAATATCGTTACGTACATATGTATACATAGTATAAACTTATTAAACTTATCAAGCTTTGCGAGGAAGTGTGAAGTATCATAATAAATAATTTTATATCCGTACACAACTCGGGACTATACGATAATGACTGGCGATGGCGTCTCGTAATATGGGAATACGTGCCTATATACAATATCAAATTCGCCCACGGTACACACTCACCGTACAAAATACAGCGCGCAGACCAGTCTTCCTGATGCCTTCTTGCATGCATGTCTCCGACGAAAAAGCGACAATAACGAGCATCGAGTTGAAAAGCGAGAAGATCAAGGACACTTGATACCCTTCTTGCGCAACGTACGGCGGTACGTTTTATTAAAGCAAAATATCTACCGAAGATATCCGAGAGGAAAAAGCATACAAATCGTATAATCGTGGATTCTACAAGAAGAAGCAACTTGTGGTAGAGCGTGAAGGGTGAAAAGAGGAGGGATAAGTCAATTTCAATCGAACTTGCAGGAGCATAAATTTAAATTCTTACATAATTTTTCATTGTAACGGTGTAATTTATTTAGAGATTACTTCGAAGACCCAAGAAAACGATACTAAAACCAATTACAACTCGTAGTTCTTTAGACTTTCGATTTGTATCCTTTTTCCCCGACGTCTGCTTTCAACGATACGGATAGGAATAACGCGACTTTGCTCTACGAAAACTCAATCGGACGTCGATACAACAAATCCAGTTGCCAATCCCAGAAATCCCCGAAAAATCCTAGAGACCTGCGCTATAACGAGATCGTACCGCCTGCCAGTTCAAGTTTCAGCGTGTGTGTTTCTTTAAACTTCTCTACTCCAACATCGCGTCGATACGACTCGTTCGAAATGCGGGCGCGTACCTTCGATTAGCTCTTATTGGTAATGATTTATCACTAGTACGTAATTAACGAGCGAGACTGGAACGTTTTCACCCGAACGGGTTGCGACGATCGTCGAGCGACAAACGAAGACGAGGATAACGACGACGACGATGATGACGACGATAAGATTCCTGGCGAGGTTGCCGGGTAGTTAGGTGGACTCCTTGCTTCGACTGGTCGCCTGAAGCCTCGTCCAGGTCTCGCCGAGCGCTTTCGCGAAGTGAGCGTCAACTGTGCAAAGAACGCGTGAGACAAGCTCGTCCGGACTGGATTCAAACCGCAGCGCGTCTACTCTCCTCCTATTCTCCTATCATGCTCGGGTGACGAGTAAACATTTTTTAGCATTTATATTCCGTACTTACCACTTAGGACAGTTTCTTTTTCGGTGGTGGTCGCGTTGAAGACGGCTGCGTACTCCTCCAGCCCCAGTGACCGTTTGAAGTGCTCGTCGATCGCTGGGTCGCTGTCCGAATCCACGTTTCTGATGCCGGTTCTCCGCCCTCCTGCAGCCGCCGCGGTCGGCGTCGCCGTCGGGGTAGGCGTCACAGCCGTGTCTTCGATCGTGGTGCCTGAAAAAACATTGGAAATCAAAGGTGATTGAGACTTTCCGCTTGAGAGGACGATATTAAGATAACGTACTAAACTGTTAAATTTAATTATTATTAATTATTATCTCTCTATAAATATAAAATATCTACGCAGAGAAAAAATTTTTTTCGTGTTTAATACGATTTCTTTAATTGAAATAAATTTGTCCTTTAGAATGGTGCAAACAAATGAATGTTTGATTAGAGTTTTGTTTGGTTTCTAAAATAATAAATATTTTTTTACGTCAAAGGACATATTTCTTTTGTATTTCCATCTAAAATATTGCAATGGTTGTCACAAGCAATAAATTATTTAAAAAAGTAACGCTATGTAGAAAAATATTAGAGCTTTTTCATTTCAGTCAGGAACAAATTTTTATAATATTTATGAATGATGTGTTATTTCTCTAACAATTTGGGGACAAAATCTATTCTTGTAATAAGTATTTATCATCATCGTCGAGATTTGAATATCCATCACCGTATTATTCTGTCTATGACTAATACGAGGATTTATGTTTCAGGAAAGCCTGTAAACACGTAGGAATGTCACGGCATTGTTGGCATTAACCGTATTTCTATTGAAAGTAGCATCTGCATCTGCACCCCAGTGCAGCGCGGTGCATTGTCATCAAACGCACCCCTGAAAGAGCGCGGACAATGGGGTCTCGGGACACGATGCCTAACGACTCCACAACCGTTGTTAGATGGGGTTCGGTAAAAAAATACAAAAAACTATCAGGCAGCATGAGGCTGGAAGGCGCGATTTGTCGGTAAAATTTATTTTTCACATCTTACGTTTAATATTTGCACATAGTGTTCTGTGCAATGAGGGCAAGACGACATTCTCCATCGAATTGTGAAATCTTAACGAAAGATCGACAGGAGACATTTTCACTTGAAATTCTTGAATTTTTAATGTAAATTTTTTGTTAAGTGCAACTATGTTCTCGATGAAAAATTCATTCATATAATTATATTTTAAATTAAATGATAAGTGCAATTTTGCTACCTATCTGCGTGGCGAAATCATATGTGAAAATAATTTAGGTTTTGCCTTAATTTTCTACGTATTTTGTTTTAAATAATTAAATGCAACATCCGCTCGTTGTATCACGTTTCTTGAAGAATTTCATACTCTAATGTCAAAAATTATTTCAATTTGAAAAAATAAAAGTTACAAGGCTCTGCGATATCAAATAAAAAAGAATATATAGGACCAATTAGAACCAAAGCACTGATTTCTTAGTGCCATTAATACAATCAAAGCACATTTTTTATTACAACTGAACAATGTTAAAAGATCGAAAGAGGTCTAGACGCTTCGACTTTAACATCGTTCAGTTGTAAGAATAAAAGTTCGTTACAACGTCGAATTATTGCTTTGACTGAATTCACGCCACTAAAATTCCGTGCTTTGGCTTTAACTGACTCTACCCATTGATTTTTCTCCTAAATTTGCTTTCAATATTAATACTCCTCATCTCCCATTGCTTAAAAGTTTTAGAAATCAACATGAAATTGTTGTGCTCATTTCCTTTCTAGCCCGAGACTCTCCGATTTCCCGACATCATTAACGACTGCTTACCGGCTTGCGGAGTGGTAGGGACGATCACACTCGGCCTGCTGTGGTGCACACGTGCCGCCGACATATCCAACGCCTCGCTCTGGATCGGATCCCTCCTACGCTCCTTGCGCCACGCGCTGCTCGGTTTCCGATGCAGATTCGTCGTCTTCGGTCTCCCCTCTGCAACATATATAAATACTAGAAATGCCACTGTGAACGAGGAGAGATAGGAATTATACGTTACATCATTTCTAACAATAACGTTACCATTAAGTTAGTTACATTCAACAATTACATCACACTAAATTTTTGTGTTTTTTTATCTCCCCACGTCTCCCCTTCACCTTAATTTCGTCACAAAGTATTTGCCCTCTTCCAATATCACGTGACATTTGAACTTATCTCCTCCTCTCCACCGATATATAGAATAAAAAGATAACTTGTAACTATATTGTGGATAATAATTATTAGACTGCACGCTACTATCTTTTTCTAAAATACGAATGATATTTTTAGGCATATAATATCAAGTTAATTACTTTACTTTATAATTTTGATTAATAAAAGTTATATTTAGAGAAAAGTAAATATTAAAAAATTAACACTTTCATTATTAACACAAAACCATGTCAAAAATTGTCACCAAAACATTATAACAAATTATACAATTATAACAAAATGTATCACAAATGCAAACAAAGTTGATAACTACGCGCATCCATATTTACAAGTTATGCCATCTAATATCACGTTCATTGGCCTTTACTCTCCTTTCCCTGCTATCACCGACTGTCACGCAAGTTAATAGACTCCACCTCCCATGATGTAACATAATTGTTGAATGGTCCTTTATATATATTTTACAAATAATACAAATATCGTGCGTCGTGCTATTTGTGATCGCATGTATAAACACGATTAATCATTATCTCGTGAAATAGAGAAATGCTGAAATAGAGACTCCGTTTACTTGAAGAAAAAGAGGAGTATTTAATGCGCGTTTCGAAGAAAGCAATTTTGTGATACAGCCTATTTATAATAAGATCGTGACCGGGCAAATTTCCGTTTGGAAACCGTTACATCGAAAACTTTTGAACGAGTAGGTAAGAGAACTCTTTCCTATGATGCGTTACATAGAAAGTTATTATTTGACGTTTGCTAGAGAACGACGTATCTAACAATGAATGCTAGAGTGTAGGGTAAACCAAATCGAATCGGATCACAAGGCGAATCAGATTAATATAAGATTTGAGTTGTCGTTAGTTTCAAACGAGTGCGGGGGAAGCGCACGGAGGTAACTGGCACGATAAAACAGCTTGTTTGAAACAAAAACTAACTACAATTGTCTAAAAATTTATATTGACCCAATTCTCTCTCATTGCTCCAATTATTGTGTAGTACGTGTGTAATCTTTTTCATTTTTTATGATAAATACTTTTAAAAGTCATGTCGGTCTCTTATTAGACAGACTGTATGTGATCTTTTATGCTCCCGACTTTTATGCTCCCGACACCACGTGCTGGCTGTGCAACGGCCCACCGGAATCCCATCGAGATAATTCGTAGCGGGAGGTTCTGCTCGCATCGTGAGATAACTCGCGAGGATGATAGGCGGAGGCGGTGCGTGTTAGACTTCAGAAAAAGCGCCGGCAAGGGTTTTTCCTCACGACGACACTCCCGTTTTTATCGGGCAACGAGACGGAAGAACAACGCGTAGAACGTCGACCGACATTATTCCGAGTCGAGGGTCAAAGCGACGACAAGGAGAAGGATGAGATACGAATTCCGTGCGCGTGTCCTTGCAGACTGCGTTATCGATCGGAGTCTATGAAATCGCGAGGGTCACCTATTTCCGCGCGGCGATATATCTAAAATTAGAAAGCTATCTAACGACAACCCTTCGTCATGATCGAGAGACACGGACGAGAAGGAGGAAGAGAAGGTGGACGAAGGACGAGAGAGACGATAAAAACGGGTTCGGTTCCCAGGATGGGCAGGAAGTGCCTAATAGCCGTGAGAGGATCGCCAGGAAGACGGCGAAACTGGTTTAGAGCTGCGTAGAGCAGGGAAAAGATGAATGGACCGGTGGAGGAGAAGAAGATAGGGAGGGTTTCCTCGAGAGTTGATCAACTTCTCGATATGTCGCGCTGATAATTACCAAACATCCAAACGACTCTCCTTCTATTTATCTAAAGCGATAATGGCTGTTCCTGCGTTTCCGGCGGTTAAACTATCGAATCGAAAGAATCAGAATTCCTTTCGGTTCAACATCCCAAATTTTATAGCAGACACATATTGTACTCGTGCATATATCTCTCGTTGTCCGTCGGACACGACACGATAACCGATATAACCACTTCGATAAACGCTAATTAAAACATTAATTGTCTAGTGATTTTTCCTGTATTTCTTTTTCACTTCTATACACGATCTATTCTGAGACACTCGGTACGTCCGGAATGTAAAATGCTCTTAATCGGCTATAATTACGCAAGAAGGATCCAATCCACAAAATTATGATTTCTGAGATTTTATTACCAATGGTTACTCTATACACTGAGAAGAATTTCCATCGGATAAACCGATTGAATGATGTATCCGATTGTTATTTTTATTATCCGATCAAGTAATGGACACCTTTATCCGATGAATATCTGATGAAGTTACCGATAAAACCTAATCGGAAAATGAATCGCCTTTCGTATGTCGCCTTGTAATTTTCATCGCATAATGACTTGATCGGATATATCCGTTTGTTCTTTTTCAATTGAATTATCCGATTGGATTATCAGATATGATCGGGCATTTATCTCAATGTACTCCTACATAAGACTAAAAGCCTTACGGGCGCCTAAAATTAATTAAAAAAAAAAACAGTTTTCATTTTCTACTAGTTGTGCCACTTTTCACTAGTTGCCTCTCTCTTATCCATTTTTTAAGGGTTAAGCTTGCTGATAAATGACGTACCTTCCGGTTTGCGAATCAATCGAAGAGTATCGGCATTGAGCCACGGCTGCCAAAGACGCCGTCTCCTGGTCGAGATCTCCATGTTACCGCCCTTGAGAGCATCAATCGCGAAAGTCAGACCGCGGAACCGCCTCCTCTCAACGACCGAAACGAAATTGCGCCGGAAATTTTTTCCTGTCCTCTCTCAGCGAGCACGCGCACTGAATTTCTTCTAGTCGAAACCTCCGTCTATCGTCTCTCGCGTTCGCCCCAGCTGGTTTCCTCGAGATTGTAATAACTCATAGTAATTCTCTCGATAAGCTCTATCGTCACTTCTCCCGGTGAATTTTTTTACTTCAGACGCAGCGATAGAGAGACATTAAAACGGACAATCGCGGCGGGCGCGACGGACGTGATAATGAGCGTGAATAAAATTCAGCTTTGACACTTTGACCGGACAAAACGAGTGGTCTTCATCGATCTTCGTCGATGAGTTCGCTTTCGCTTCTTCTCACCGCGCGATTATTTGCGGCGACTCAGCACCGGATATCTCGGCGTTTCGCGAAATCTGCCCGGAAACAAACATCGGCGGCTGCACCGTCGCGCTCTCGTTAAGATCCCGACCGACGCTTCCCACACATGATACGACATACGTCGATCATTTCGATTCAGCGAATGGATTAACGGTCACTGCTCGATCATCCCGTTCCCGGAGGAGGGAAGACGAGGAACTCGCCTCTGAGGCGCAATTTCTTCTCTCTCCTTTTCCTCTCGCTTCCTTATCCTCGGCGATTTTTATTCCTTCGCGGTCACAGTATCACAGTAATAACCATGCGATAACCGCTGCCATCGTCCACAGCCCGATTCACCGCACTCTTGCGCGCGAGCGGAGACGCGGCTCGACCGCGTTGACGATCACAAAGTCGGGGAGCGGCGCCAAAGTGTTCGGGACGTGCGACAGGGAAGCCGAGCGAAACCGCAAACGATGCGGAGAAAGAGACCAACGGCGAACGAGGCAAACAGCGAAGTTCGACGGCGAGTTCCTCTCTCGCGAAAGACGGATGGCAAAAACGACGAGAGACGGTAAACAGGGCGAGAGAGTAACACACGGGCACACTCGCGCGACGTGTGAAAGAAAGTGTGTGCGGGAGGGAGGGAGGGAGAGAGAGAGAGAGAGAGAGAGAGGTGCACAATCGAGAATCGCGATTGTGTATATGGACACAATGCGCAGGAGGAAAACGACGACGAAGCGGCGACGACGACGAGCGACGGCGACGTTGAAGAAAAGCCGCGATCTTCAAAAAGCGCGTCTCTCAAAGGCGTCGTGGTTTCGTGAATGCGCTTCTCACGACTGTCTTAAGATTCATTCATTCATCCGCCTCGGCTCATCGTCCGTCTCCCCCCCCCCTCACCCCGCCTTCCACGTGGAACCGAAGGAGGTTGCCTTCTACGCACGCACACATACACACCGCTGCGGCACACGTGCGCAGCACACATCGCGCGATATCTGCACGGACAGGCCGTGGATTAAACGTGTATTTATAAGGTGGATACTAAGCGCGCGCGGCTCAAAGCCAACTCGTCTCCTTTCTCGCTTTCTCTCCGCCTCGCTCCTCTCTCCGGCTCTTTCTCCCTTTCGCAGGTAGACGACGCGATGTACAGGGTGTGCCGAGTTTAAAGGTGCGAATCCCTTGCGGCCACTCGGCGGCCCGGCGATATAAAAACGGGCCGCCGCTCAAAGTGACGACGACATCGCTGTTCTCGTGGGCGCTACTTGAAGAGAGTAGACGGACGCGTGGAAAGTCGCTGCGGCGCGATTACCTCGCGAATAACGCACGCGTGCCATGGGAGCACGCACGTGGGAGAAAACACATGCGCGGTCGATTCGGAGACGTGGCCGAATGAAACGCGCGCGCTGTGTAAGGCCTCTGTACAGTACGTCGTGTGTCGATAGTCCAATGAAGAGAACTCGTATCTTATTTCATCTTTAAGCGAAATTAAACATTTTTGATTTGTCGTACCAAAGCAAAAGCGACACCTGAAATGCTTTAATTTGCGCTTATCCCATTAAGATTAGTGCAAATTAAATTAAAGTATTTCAAGTGTCGCTTTCGCTTCAGTACGACAAATTTAGAGTTCTAAGTTTCGCCTAAGGCTAAAATAACGCCGGTGCAATCAGGCCTAAGTTGCTTTCCAACGCGCACCATCGTCGGAGCGCCCGTCAAATGACTGGAATAGCTCGCGTATTTGTCGAGCTGCGCGTAAGCGGAAGGACGAAAGACGACGGTTCTTCTTTGCGCGCGACCCTGTACGTGCATGGATACGCCCGATGCACCAGGCGCATCGATGCGATGCACGCGCGAATGCGTCGTCGGCTGTGATAGCGCGGCGAAGCGTTTATTTCAACTCTTTCGATATATTCATGCGCCATGTATCGCACATCGAGTACCATTCGCTCGAAGCTTGCGATATTCTTGCGCGAAGCGTGTTATTTTTTTAAATGCTAATCTCCACTTATCTCTTTCTCTTTCTTTCCCCCGCGACGACAATCTTCTTAACTACATTATTTGATAGAGAAAAAGAAATAAAGTTTATTTAAAAGGGATAATATTTCGTTTTCAATAAGAAAAAATCGATTTTACTATTTATTAAATATTGTCCCACTGAAACAAAGAAATTCGTTAATATTTTTTTAACATAGCGCCACTTCTTTCAAATAAATCTATTGCTTGTGACAAACACTGTAATATGTTTGGGTGAAAATACGAAAGAAATATATATTTGACGTGAAGATATATTTATTGTGTTTTTCAGAAATCAATCAATCTTGATTCAGAAATCAATCAATCAATCTTGTTTGTTGAATCAAACATTCGTTTGCTTGCCCTATTCCAAAACACAAATTTGTTTCAACTAAAGAAATTTTATCAAATTCAAAGGAGTCTTTTTTTCTATATTCTACTTTCTATATTCTAAAATTCTTCGAGAAGTATCTCAAACTGTCTATGATAAGTCGATAAGTGAAGATTAAACAGATAAATGTAAAAAAACTGAAAAGATGTAACTAAGACTAAACTATTATTAGCTTATTTACATTAAACGTTCAACAAAAGTCCTCCAAATATGATACGCTATCGCATCGCGATACTTTATTCGCTTCTTTACGCCTAATGTCTAATTAAAACCGTTCGATTCGAATTGATCATTCGAAGCAAAATCGTAAGTTCGCGAGTTGTGCGGTCGACATGAGAATATTGCTCGAACAGTTATGCATGAAGGACCGAATTTGCGGTTTGTCCAAGGCGAAGCGAATGACGGAATAAGACACGAGACTCCGGTTAAATGCATCGGGGCGGAGGACGTCGTGTGGAAGAATAAAAATTCGAGATCAGCAAATGCATTCGCGCGACTCGCACGTAGTAGAACACGTGTACTCAATCTGCGCTACGTGGAATCGCGACTATAAGCGGTGACTACGCGGAAGCCGTTGTGACACCTCGAGGTAGCGAGCTTAAATAAGATTACAATTCATTTAGATACATGTAACTATCTCCTGACAATAATGGCAGGTGAATATAGTTATTTCGTATCCAAGTTACTCAATCGATATTTTGAAAAACGAGAACGATACACAAATATAATGATTCAATAAATACAGTCATTTTGTTAATATATGTAACATTATATTGTAACATTATACTTTTTGACGCATTCCCCGTGTTAAAGTAACACCAAATTTCGGTGAACCGTTTTTAATACAAAACTTTTACCATTGTGCACTTGTGTTTAATATCTTTAGTAGGATTTGGAATCTGACACCGTTACGAACCTATCCCATTGCTGACGTTTCGAAAGTAGCAGCTCGCGCGCCAGCTAAGGGTACGCGTTTGAGAAACCCTCTCGCATCTGAAATGCACCCGTTCGCTTTCGAGCACCTTGTTTCAGCAATCGTGCAAAAGCGCTCGGATCGATCCGCGAGGAGGATTTCGTAAGGCACGAGTGACCGAATGAATACAAAGCGAAGAATGCGATTGCTCATTGGCCGCGCGCGCGATCGATTCCGTGTAGAAAGAAACGATTGCGTGAATATCCACGGTGGGTTGTAGCGGTGGTGTGTTATGATTGCGAATTTATGTCAGGTAATGGCACATTGCATTACGAGTGGCGGCACCTGCGATAATAATAGCGATTCCTGTGGCAATCTGTCCGCGGCTTGCATACGAACGAGCCTGGTTAACGCCTGCGAGCACGCGCGCGAAATATAAAATTACTATTAGACGAGTTATGCGCGGAATGTCTGTGGAATGTCAAGCGGTCGTCGTCATGGTTTCTGAATTCTTTGCATTCCACGCGTGGTCGATCGTTTCATTGTCGAGTTATGTTCCTGACCGCGCATTCCCGTGAATATCGAACACAGCGATACGAAATTGGAGCCGACGGGGGAGATCTGAGAAGCTCTCTTGGGAAAACAATCGGGGAAAAAAATAGCACACAATCGAGCTGAAAAATTATCATTGACGATTGATATGGGAGAGAATTCCAGTGAACCAAGATATAGCACATTAAGTCCGATTGAAATAATTCGTTGGGTATTCGCGGAACTCTGATTGCTTTTTATCATCCTTCAAGAATAAATGGATCGAATATTTCACTTTATGACGAATATATCGCTCGAAAGCGATTAGCCCAGGGGTTTCCTCCGAGGAGATTCCAACACATGGAGGTTACGATAAATTGCAAAGGAATGTGGAATATGCGGGTGTTATTAGCGGTAACGTTTGAATGTGCAGCTTTCAAGTTTCGACGAGGGACCAACGCGATCCCAAACGGGACGAGATGCAGCCGTCTCTTTGATCATGCATCGCAAGCGCACAGAATTAGCGTAAGACGGGACGAATTTCAAAGAGGCGCCGCGACACATCTCGGAGGGTAGGCAGCTCGAGAAAGAGGACACGTCCTCGGGACACGTCTGTGTGTCTGATCATCCGAAGATTCGTGCGGAGCCGCGAGGAATTTCAATAGTACAAACTGACCTTGCACCATCGTCGCCGCTCTGGAGAGGACGTCTAAGGCACTCTCGACGGCGGACATATCCTCCCTCTTCTGCTAGTTCTCCCTGCTGGAACTTCTTCCTCCTGCCTTTCCCTCTTCGTCTCTCCTCCTCTTCTTCCTCCTCCTCTTCCTTTTTCTCTCTACTCAGTCAGTATCTTTTTAGCCACCCCCGCACACACTATGAAGAGCAAACTCGCGAGTCCTCAGCCTCCTTCTCGTGCGTGCTTACTTGCCACCTTCGTCGTCCTCGTGGCAAGGATACGTCGTCCTTGGCCTGGCTGCGATCCGTCGCCGCGAAAGGAAGCGCTCTATAGGGACAGAAGTCAAACTTTAACTGTTTGGGCCTTCCTCGCGGCCGAAGGCGGCGCAAATAAAGTAAAACGGGGATTAAAAAACGTGACATTGTCTGTGGAATGCGGACCCCTCACCGTCGACGCCCCCCCCCTCATCCCCGCCCCCACGACGCGGTTCAGAAGCCCCCTTCTTCCCCCTGTTTCTCTCGCGAAGCCTCTTCTTGCGCCACGTATCTAGCGACGGGACCGACACGTTCGCGTGAGCCGTATTATTACCAAGCCGAATACTAGTCGCTTTAAATAGATGCAGAATCGCTGCCGCGACGATCCTTAATAGCATCCCTTGTTGTGGAATTTAAAGCCGGCTCTCCCTTCGGGGGAAATGCCGAGGCATGGATAATTTCGATGTTACGAGCGGCTTGAGATAACCGGCTTCTGTTAAGCTTCGGAGATAAATGGGCAGAATTATATATTATTTCTCGCTTGGTTTATCAGACGGACTTTCTCCGTAGAAAAAGTCCACACATAATTGCTGAAGCTTCTAACGTCGACATTTAAAAAGTCTCAACGGGTGATGATCTCCTTCTCTCTGTGTTTTCTCTTTATTTCTCGATTGTCGGTCTAATGAACACATTGAAGAAATTCACCAGAGAGAAACTAGTCGTTAAAGAAGAAACGAGACCGCTGAAACGCTGACGTTCGTTCTCGCTCGCGAGAACAAAAAGAACAATGCCTTCGAGTCAACGGGAGATCGTTCGAACCCGTCACTACTTGTATCGCGGCCTCTCTCATTCCTTCTCGTCCTCCTCGCGTGCTTTTCCCACCTCTCACAATACTACCGTACGCTCGACATCACGATTTCATCGTAACAATATAAACAACCTTCTATCCATCTCCCTTCCGCTCCACGCGCTCCTCTTTCCGGTATTTTGGCTTTTCCCTCGCTCGTTCGAGAAAGGGAGAGAGAGAGAGAGAGAGAGAACGGCGAATTTTGCGGCACGCAATGAATATGGAGCGATTTCGTTTTCTCCTGCAAGGATCCGACCGTTTTGCTCCCA